ATGGCCACCAGTACATAGCATGACATGCCATGCAGACGATGCCACCTCCCTCACCAAAATGGCTGCTCCTAACATACTCCTATTGCTGTCATTACACTCTTTACACACGTCATATGTAAGTATTTACATTTGTGTTTACCATAGCGAACCCCTAAGCTGGTAAAGTAAGTCCAGTCAATAAAAGATGGCCACACAGTCAGAAGATGACACCACCTCCCTCCCTCAGCATTACTACTCCTACCATAGAGCACAGTGCTAATTATCACCACAATCCTGCTATTATCAGAATCCTGGTCATTCTTCTCCAATGTCTAATAATGTTTTATGTCAGTCTTCTCTAATACTATCATCACTAAATAGCAGGTTCATATATATATATATATATATATATATATATATATATATATATATATATATATATATATATATATATATATATATATATATATATATATATATATATATATATATATATATATATATATATATATATATATATATATATATATATATATATATATAATATATATAATATATATAATATATATAATATATATAATATATATAATATATATAATATATATAATATATATAATATATATAATATATATAATATATATATATATATAATATATATATATATATAATATATATAATATATATAATATATATAATATATATAATATATATAATATATATAATATATATATATATATATATATATTATTAAATATGACCGAAAAAGTAAGATTAATAATTCTAACACGAATTTTCTCAATCTTTCGTACATTACGCTTCACTGTTGGAGGTAAATCAAAAATCACTTCTCCAAATTTGATTTACCTCCAACAGTGAAGCGTAATGTACGAAAGATTGAGAAAATTCGTGTTAGAATTATTAATCTTACTTTTTCGGTCATATTTAATAATATATATATATATATATATATATATATATATATATATATATATATATATATATATATATATATATATATATATATAATATATAATATATATAATATATATAATATATATAATATATATAATATATATAATATATATAATATATATAATATATATATATATATATATATATATATATATATATATATATATATATATATATATATATATATATATATATATATATATATATATATATATAATATATATATATATATATATATATATATATATATATATATATATATATATATATATTGTTACATATTTAGGCAATGCTGCATTCACAAGCTGAACAGCAGTGCTGTTAGCTCATGCTGTGTGTGCCAGCCTTGGTTGCTCACTCATTACCGAGGCTCTCACACCAAGGAACGTTACCCACGATTTTTTTTCCAAGATGGAGTCTGTTTACTATCGATCATGGCTGGACTGCCTATCCCTCGCGAGGCATTTAAAATCGTGCGCTAGACCCCTCAATCATATATGTATGATACGCGCCATTTCGTGACAGTTACTCCCATCGTATATGTATGTATTGCACCGTTTAATGGTTGAGGAAGGTTTTAAATTCTTGTAAATAGCTTTCACTTATGTACTTCTCTGTACATGTTTCTAGTGAATTTATGTTCATTCTATAGTAGAGACCAAAAGTGAACTACAAACTTAAATTGGGCAAAATAATGAAGTATATTAGATTTCTTAATGCTAACATTTCTAGAAATAAATTCCTGTACCCTACTGCTTCATTGCTTACGTTTATGAATGCAGGCGATGAGTCACAATAATGTGGCTGAAGTTATTGGTACAATAACGTGACTTCACCTTATCGTTTATGAATAATTTTTTTTGTACTCATGATCCTTGATACCTGCTTGATGGGGCTGTGGGAGTTCTTTTACTCCTCAAGCCTGGCTTGCAGAATAGAATCTTGGGCTAAGCCTAACTTGTGGGAGTTTGGTCCACTAGGCTGTTGCTTGGAGTGGCCCGTAAGCCCACATATCCACCATAGCCCGTTGGTCCGGCACTCCTTGGAGAAAATTTTCTAGTTTTCTCTTAAAGACGTCCATGGTTGTTCCGGGAACATTTCTTATACTTGCTGGAAGGGTGTTGAACAACTGTGGACCACTGATGTTTATAGTATTCTCTGATTGTGCCTATGGCACCCCTGCTCTTCACTGGTTCTATTTTGCACTTTCTTCCATATCTTTCACTCCAGTATGTTGTTATTTTACCATGTAGATTTGGGACCTGGGCCTCCAGTATTTTCCACATACTGTATATATTATTTGATATCTCTCTCGTCTCCTTTCTAGTGAGTACATTTGGAGAGCTTTGAGAAAATCCCAATAATTTAGGTGTTTTATAGTGTCTATGTATACCGTGTATGTTCTCTGTATTCCCTCCCTCAATAACCATGACTCAGATTATTTCCACATTCAGATTTTGCAATTTCAACATTGTCCAGCTCATATCTGATAACTTATCTAAGCTCAGAACTCTACTACTTAGCACTTAACTGCAGCTGGCAATCTCCCTTTCATTTTAAGTCTAACTAGATTGTCTTCTACCCACTTTGTCTTCTTTTGAATTTATTTCTTTTTGTGACTGCAATTTTTCAAATGTAGTAAGAGCTCACTAATTTGAACCTACATCATAATCCACTGTCATATCACCCACTTTATCACCCACCCACTTATCACCCCCACCACCAGTTTCACTGCACATCAACATAATCCCTCACGATTTTCTTAACTGAAATCTGGCATCCTAACAGTTCTCTTAACATCTTCATGATTTGTTAAATCAAATTTCTCCATGATAACTATTACCCAGTTTGTTGCTTTTTCCCATCAACATTGCCCATTTCTAGTACGGGAATTAAAAATAAAGTATAAATAATTTTCGGTTGTACGGTATTCTCACCGAGCTCAAAATTTTACTTGTGTAAAATGGTACAATGGGTCAATTAATTCCATTCACATAAAATTGTCATCCACACTTCCATGGAAATAAACATGCCATTCACCTGGGCTCTAAGAGACGAACCCCAGGCCTCACGCGTGTGAGGCTGAAGCTCTATCGACCGAGCTATTGAGTAGTCTTAATAACGAAAGATCCCAAAAGCAGCATCCTGCCAAACTGGAATTTTTTACTTTCCCCTGACTACTACTGAAGCTCAGAGGAATTAGCGAGTCATGCCCACATTATATAAACTGTCATCCACACTTCCATGGGAATAAACTCCCCATTCACCTGGGCTCTAGGACTCCAACTGCAGACCCCCATGCATGCGAGGCCGAAGCTCTATCGACCATGCTATTGAGTAGTCTTAACAAGGAAAGATTCCACAACCAGCATCCTGCTGCCAATTTAATATAGATTTGGTGATCAATTTCAATATTAACTTAAAACTACTAATACTACATGCATAAAATGTTATAGTAAATATTTTTATAAATCCACCATTCCATTACAATACCATTGTTATAAAAAAATTTACTTGAAATTGAGGATTGTTGAAAATTGGAAATAACGCCGATCTGCATGAAGTGAGAGCATCGCTCTATCTTGAGGTTATCTTGAGATGATTTCGGGGCTTAGCGTCACCGTGGCCCGGTCCTCGACCAGGGGTCCTTGTTACACATCCTCCCAGGAAGGAGCCCGTAACAGCTGTCTAACTCCCAGGTACCTATTTACTGCTAGGTAACAGGGACATCAGGGTGAAAAACATTTTGCCCACTTGTCTCCGCCTCAACTGGGGATCGAACCCGGGCCTTCAAGACTATGAATCCGAAGCGCTGTCCACCCAGCTGTCAGGCCCTCTACCGTCAAGCCCAAGTGGTTGATGATATAGTTACCGAATAACCTGCCCATACAGCAGGGGATTACAGCTTTGACGCTGTATATACCCTCAGTGCCAGGCCCACCCCTCCTAGGGCAGTGCCAGGCCCACCCCTCCTAGGGCAGTGCCAGGTCCACCCCTCCTAGGGCAGTGCCAGGTCCACCCCTCCTAGGGCAGTGCCAGGTCCACCCCTCCTAGGGCAGTGCCAGGTCCACCCCTCCTAGGGCAGTGCCAGGTCCACCCCTCCTAGGGCAGTGCCAGGTCCACCCCTCCTAGGGCAGTGCCAGGTCCACCCCTCCTAGGGCTGAGCCAGGCCCACCCCTCCTAGAGCTGTGCCAGGCCCACCCCTCCTAGGGCTGTGCCAGGCCCACCCCTCCTAGGGCTGAGCCAGGCTTACCCCTCCTAGGGCTGAGCCAGGCCCACCCCTCCTAGGGCAGAGCCAGGCCCACCCCTCCTAGGGCAGAGCCAGGCCCACCCCTCCTAGGTCTGAGCCAGGCCCACCCCTCCTAGGTCTGAGCCAGGCCCACCCCTCCTAGGTCTGAGCCAGGCCCACCCCTCCTAGGTCTGAGCCAGGCCCACCCCTCCTAGGGCTGAGCCAAGCCCACCCCTCCTAGGGCTGAGCCAGGCCCACCCCTCCTAGGGCTGCGCCACACCACCCTCCCCTGCAGCAGGGGCTCGCAGCCTCACCACATCTACCCCCACCAACACCACCCCTCCTCCTGGGCCTGCGTCAGGTCAGGTCACCCTGGAGGACACAGCTGGTGTCTCTCCACCCAGGTCACGTGATGGTGTCCACCTCCCACTCGTAGCTTCACGGTGCTTCTCTCTCTCCAGCCACACCTTCAAGCAGCAACGCCCTGAGACAAAGGGCCGAGCTGGAGCCCCTGGAGGGCGGGCCGGGAGCCCCGAGGGCCGGAAGGTAAACACCTGACCACCTGGTGACCCCTCAACACTCCCCTGCCACCCCCCTGGCCTCACCTATCACGCTCTCCACCTTCCCTAGCCATTTACACTATAAGGCCAGGTCGCTGGGCACCCACACCCGCCTCCTGCGGCTGCGGGAGCCCCGGGAGGAGGGTACTTCGAGGCCAAACAGAGGTTAAAGGCCCAGCTCGCCGCCGTCTGATCATATGACGGTCGGTGGGCGTTTTGGGGGTTTCCTCTCTCTCTCCTCACACACTGTAACCACCAACCTGTAGGTGCTCTTGGAATCTTATAGGTAACATTTGCGTCATCTTTGCGGCAGGGTTGGACGTAAGGGGACGAAGAGGTGAGAAAATCCGTGAATAAAGAGGCTATATTGAGGTATGGCGAGCCATCCAGAGCGCTACACTGCAGTACCGACACTATCCAATATGTCTGCCTCGGTGACAAGTGCAGCTAGTCCGCCCACCACCTGTATTACTCCGCTCATCTCTCTCCCTCACTCCGCCCGCCTCCTCCTCCTCTCTTAATACCTGCCACACCCGTCTCCTATATTTCCCAGTCTCGATACCTAAAGAAAAGTTTGGATGTGGGCTTTATTTAGATTGGCACAAAGGATGTGATCATTTGGCGGAGGGATAAGTGCGTTGCGCGCCCTGCCAACTGAGCAGCCTCTGTCAGATGGCTCATTGATCCGCCGGGGGAGCCTCCACACTCCGCCTCGCACACTTTCACACTTTATTCCACACATACAACACTCACTCCATATACCAAGTGGCCCGAGGGCTTTGACGAATGACTGTGCTTAACTTACACTCTATAGATAAGATTCACAATTGTGGGATAGTTTAGTAAAGTCATGTCGGGAGGAGTGGGAGTGGTTTAGAGGGGCGCGAGTGACAGTGCACACCCGCACCCTCATGAATGACTCCTCGCTACTACTACACTGATTCATCTCTTTATTACGAATTAAATATATATATACATGTAATCCTGCCTCGAGAAGCAATATATCTTAAGTTGTTTGTGAAAGTATCTACTGTAAACTGCTAAAGAAAGAAGTCTGGTAAGGTGAGATAACCATCTTAGTCTGCCTCTCCAGAAGGGCATTTCCGCCAGCGTGAAACTAATTTACTTATCATAAATCTTTTGTTTCTTGAGAATTTGTCGATTACTTTAAAAAACAAGCGAACGTAAGTTAAAATTACCACTGGAAAGAGGTCCATTCATTACTTCGCGTGAATTAAAATGACAAAATGTTTCTTAAGGGCCAAGATATCTACACTAAGTTAATTGAATTTATATAATTAGTGGCTTTGATCGGGATAGGAAGCCGGCGGCTTGTCTAAGGTCTCCTACTTATTCCTGAAGATTTTTTTTTTTTTTGCAGCTTGAATTTAAACCGGGAAATATGAACGTACAGAAGATGAACTTACCGATGTTCCAGTTGCCTGCGCATGTTTGAGTTTACTGTTTCCCTATAGTTGGCTGCATCACGTACGTGAGCCACATAGTTGGATATGCAGGTGGCAGCCAGGCTGTATACACTTGTATACACACCTAGTTGTGCTTGCGGGGGTTGAGTTTCGGCTCCTTGGTCTCGCATGTATAGTCCCACACCAGCTGGTTACTGTGGATTGATTTATGAGGTTTAAGCCACCACAAGACGAAGTACGGGCATGAATAGCCCGTAATAATTACTGCTCTTCCGGGGGAATATTATGATACTACCCAGGGGATGTGCATTACAGGCTAGTCATGCCCATGCCAACTCTTGGGTGGCTTAATCTCTATATTAATCAATCGTGACGCACAAATCTGTCAGGGTTTTGGCCAAGAAAAAAATTAGGTTCTCTTTCTGCTGGGTATTGGGTCTGAGGTAAGGCTACGCTTGATAATGGCATTGCCTTCATTACGTCTTGCATGCCAACCCTTGGAGCTTCCATAGTGCAGATCATCCGAGCCATATTGGCTGCCTTCCAAAAATGTTGCAAATAAACTGATACTCAGTGAATTGACCGCCAAGATGGAGGACCACTGCAGTATGGAGGGTCTCTGGCTCTACACACACACACGTGTTCCTGTTGCAGAGACAGGTATTGCTAAAATAAAGTCCCCTGCATGGGGGGCATCCACAGCTTTAAGTAGAGCTTTCACATAATGTGAAGATGCAGCATGGAGCAAGGCCTCAGCTTTTTTCTCCAACCACTAGATTATCAACGGAGCCTAGTAGCCTGGTGGATAGCGCGCAGGATAGCGTGGCGCGGGTTCGATTCCCGCACGAGGCAGAAACAAATGAGCAAAGTTTCTTTCACCCTGAATGCCCCTGTTACCTAGCAGTAAATAGGTACCTGGGTGTTAGTCAGCTGTCACGGGCTGGCTGCTTCCTGGGTGTGGAGGCCTGGTCAAGGACCGGGCCGCGGGGACACTAAAGCCCCGAAATCAACTCAAGATAACCTCAAGAAGATCCCAGCTGCAATATTCTATTTTTGCTGTTCTGGAGTCTGGGTGTTGGGGGCTGCAAGAGCATCTGTTTGCTTGCCATAATTAATGAAGGTAGGATTGTTTATTTCTGTCGAATCACCAAAAGGTGGATCTAGTAGGATATCTTTACAAGATTGTTCGATGTAGTGCCGGAGGAGAGGAAGGCTGGCAAGGCAATGTGATAGACTGACCTTCCAGATGGAACACTGGAAATATTACCTTCATGCACGCAAACACACCCCATACATGCACGCAAACACACCTCATACATGCACGCAAACACACCCCATACATGCACGCAAACACACCCCATACATGCACGCAAACACACCCCATACATGCACGCAAACACACCCCATACATGCACGCAAACACACTCCATACATGCACGCAAACACATCCCATACATGCACGCAAACACATCCCATACATGCACGCAAACACACCCCATACATGCACGCAAACACACCCCATACATGCACGCAAACACACCCCATACATGCACGCAAACACACCCCATACATGCACGCAAAGACATCCCATACATGCACGCAAACACACCCCATACATGCACGCAAACACACCCCATACATGCACGCAAACACACCATATACATGCATGCATGCAAACACACCCCATACATGCACGCAAACACACCCATACATGCACGCAAACACACCATATACATGCACGCAAACACACCCCATACATGCACGCAAACACACCACATACATGCACGCAAACACACCCCATACATGCACGCAAACACACCCCATACATGCACGCAAACACACCATATACATGCACGCAAACACACCCCATACATGCACGCAAACACACCCCATACATGCACGCAAACACACCCCATACATGCACGTAAACACACCATATACATGCACGCAAACCCACACCATACATGCACGCAAACATATAGATGAACAAAAAAAAAATATATATATATATATATATATATATATATATATATATATATATATATATATATATATATATATATATATATATATATATATATATATATATATATGCAAACAAGCCTGAATGGTCCCCAGGACTATATACAACTGAAAACTCACACCCCAGAAGTGACTCGAACCCATACTGCCAGGAGCAACGCAACTGGTATGTACAGGGACGCCTTAATCTGCTTGACCATCACGACCGGACATAAGGAAGTGATAGCCACTATTTGAACCACTTCCCCGCCGGCACTCGGATGGTAATCTTGGGCATAGCATTTTATCAAATCACCTCATTCTTTGGGGCACACGTGAGGAACACAAATGCAAACAAGCCTGAATGGTCCCCAGGACTATATACAACTGAAAACTCACACCCCAGAAGTGACTCGAACCCATACTGCCAGGAGCACATAAATATATATATATATATATATATATATATATATATATATATATATATATATATATATATGTCGTACCTAGTAGCCAGAACGCAATTATCGGCCTACTATGCAAGGCCCGATTTGCCTAATAAGCCAAGTTTTCCCGAATTAAGTTATTTTTTCTAATTTTTTTCTTATGAAATGATAAATCTACCCATTTCATTATGTATGTTGTCAATTAATTTTAATTGGAGTTTAAATTTAAGTAGATATATGACCAAACCTAACCAACCCTACCTAACCTAACCTAACCTATCTTTATAGGTTAGGTTAGGTTAGGTAGCCGAAAAAGTTAGGTTAGGTTAGGTTAGGTAGGTTAGGTAGTCGAAAAACAATTAATTCATGAAAACTTGGCTTATTAGGCAAATTGGGCCTTGCATAGTAGGCTGATAAGTGAGTTCTGGCTACTAGGTACGACATATATATATATATATATATATATATATATATATATATATATATATATAGGTAAATATTTACTGCTAGGTGAACGAACAGATGAAAGAAACTCTGACCATTTGTTTTCGCCTCGACCGGGAATCGAACTCGGGACCATAGGACTGCGACCCCCGAGAGCTGAGCACCCAGCCGCGAGGTCCCGAAGGTGCATCCATTTACCGAGGCGTGTCTCCTTGTGCTGAAGTACTTGTAAGAACTTTTACAACCACTTATCACATAACCAACTTTGCCTAAACAAAAAACTTATCTAGGTTCCACACACACACACACACACACACACACACACACACACACACACACACACACGCGCGCGCGCGCGCGTATGTCGTGTCAGCAAGGCGGACAGTCCGCCTACATTCATGATAACTAAAAACTGACCAACACTCTACATTCTCCACCTCACTCCTGGTCCTCTTCTTCTCTCGTTGGCCCCCCACCCTCCTCTCTCTCTCTCTCTCTCTCTCTCTCTCTCTCTCTCTCTCTCTCTCTCTCTCTCTCTCTCTCTCTCTCTCTCTCTCTCTCTCTCTCTCTCTCTCTCACTCTCTCTCTCTCTCTCTCACTCTCTCACTCTCTCACTCTCTCACTCCCAGGTGTTCCGCCCCCTCTCACCACAGAGAGGGAAGGGGGGGGGGCGTGTCGGACACTCAATACAGGGGAGTGTATATGTGTGTATGTGAGTGTATGCGCTCACCTAGATATGCTTACAGACTCGAGTGTCAGCGTCAAAAGTCCCCCCCCCCCCATCCACCACCACTTTAGAGTATTTTGTAATAATATGCAATGGCTGTTCTCTCATTTTTCATGTTATATTTACATTTTATACTTTTCTTCCTCAAACTAATTCCATATAAGATAACTCCATATAACATAAAAGTAATAATATTATATAATTTCATATAACATAAAAAAAGTCTTACTGCATTTTATTTAGAAGTAAATCGTCAAACCAAATTCACCTTCAGATAGACAAAGTTAACATTAGCATTAAGAATTATGGTATTTTCCTTGGCCTATACACAGACAAAAGACTAAACTTCAGCACCCACATGCAACACATATCCAATAAAGTCTCAAAAACTGTTGCTATAACCTCT